TTCAGCCTCCACAAGAGAAGGCTGAGGGGGGATCTAGTGGCCTGTTACAAACTAGTCAGAGGGGACCAGCAGGCTTTGGGGGAGTCCCTGTTCCCCCGAGCGCTACCAGGAGTGACTAGAAATAAGTCACAAGCTGGCAGAGGATAGATTCAGGCTAGACATCAGGAGGCGCTACTTCACGGTCAGGGTGGCTAGGATCTGGAACCAACTTCCAAGAGAAGTAGTTCTGGCTCCTACCCTGGGGGTCTTTAGAACAAGGCTAGATGAACACCTTGCTGGGGTCGTTTGACCTCAGTACTTTTTCCTGCCAAGGCAGGGGGTCGGACTTGATGATCTGCTCAGGTCCCTTCTGACCCTACAAACTATGAAACTGAAAAAAGGCCACCCGATCTAACTTAGTTTGTCCAGGTGTGGACCTTATTCTTAGATCTCTAGTTAAGTCGATCTAAATGGTCACGTCTTGTAATAAATCCATGTTATGGTTTTATTTTAATCTCATCTGGGTTTATTTGCAACTTTCTGTATCTCTGAATAGACTTAAATAGTGATGCTGTTGTTAGTCAACCTGCCAAATTAATTTCTTTCCTTCAAATGCGGAATTTCCTGTCCCTAATTAGAAGCAGTGGTTTCAGGATGTAATGTATTTAAATTGCATGACTCTGCAGACCAGAAATACGAATATTATAACCTAGAAAAATGGCCTGTCAATTGATATCAGAATTTCATTCTTTGGAAGGTGTAAAGATGTCCAATTAAATTTATCAAAAGCAAAAAAAATATTTGAGATCATTTTCTGCACATTTGGTGGCTTCCTCTGACGTTTCTCTGTATAGTTGTACTCGGAGCAACTAAATCATTAGATTTTCAGGTGGGAGTTTAAAATGCAAAAGTCTGAATAAAACTTTTAAAAAACAGTTTCTCTGTAACCTGGAAGTGGCATATGCAAAAACTTGTTTTGGCAAATTTTTTTTTTCTCAGGGTTGTATCAGTGTTATGTAAATTGCTTGTGGCATCTTCACTTGTGACTAATGTGCCCATCTTGAGCTCCCTGCTGATTAAACCTTGCATGTACACACAAACACTGGGTATGCTGTCTTACTTTATTTTATTCATGGTCTTATGTCTTGATATATAAGCACCAATTACAAATGTATCAATATAATCATGAATTTTTAGTTTGTGCAGTGTAAGGAACATTTCAATATGTCATTAAACATTTCTGTTTTTAAAAAGGACATACAGATTTTTCATAAGCTGCATCCTATGTGAGGGAAATAACTTTTTGGAGGTGAAGCAGTTTTTTTTTGGTCACAGTCCTAATCACAAATTACTTGAAATGTGCCTATACTTTTTTATATTTAATACACTTTTTTTTTCCCTTCCTGAATTCACATTTTTAATGTTAGGTATTTTTGCCCCTTATTTTTTCCCCCCAACCGAATTCTGGATTTCTCAAAACATGTGGCCAGAATCTCTTATCATGTTGTTTGTGTTATGTGCCAAAACGGAACTGGGACAAACTAACATAAAAGCCGTTCAGGTCAAATTATTTCTAGCTAATCTTCCAGTGGAAGAATTAACAACTCTCTGTATGTGCAATTTTTCTTCTGTAGGGTTGATACACAGAATACTAAATGGAGTGCAGCTTTCCACACCCAACTCTGCCATACTAGAATGCTGAGCAGTGACTATTGACTTGTGTTGCCAGATACTTTTCTTTCAGTTTTCATACTCACATTATGCCTGTGTGAGAGAGATGGAGAAAAAAGATGAGAACAAAAATGCAATTAATTTATGATGGAACATTTTCATAAAAGGATGGTCCATATTGCACATAGTGTTGCTGGCACAATACTATACTTATAATCCATGTATAGGAATAGTAGTATTAGTCATATAGGAACTAGGGCTGTGTGAAGCTTCAGTAGCTGATTCAGTTTGGAAGAGAATCAGCCCGATTCAGGGGCCAAATCTCTGAATTGAATCAGGAGGCCCATTAAAAGGTCTGAATCGAATTAAAGAAAATGCCCCACACTCGCTGGCTGCAGCAGCAGTGACCGGGGCCCCTGGGAGCTCATGACAGAGCCTCCCCATTCAGCACAGGGCAGTGGGGATGGGCCGTCCCCACTCCCTGCCTGGCACCCGCGCGGCAGCTGTCACATCACATGGGTGCAGCATGGCTTGGCAAGGCTCTGTGGGGCTCCGTGCGCGGTTTGGAGCCACTCAGGCTGAGTGCTGCAGGGCTCTGGGTGATGGCGGGAGCTGCCCCAGCTCTGGGACAGTGTGTGGCACCCTGCCAAGCCACACTGCACCTGTGCAATGTGGCAGCTGCCAGGTGTGGGAGAGGGGGGCAGTCCTCACTGCCCTGTGCTGTGCTGCGCTGTGAGGGGGGGCTCTGGCATGAGCTCCCAGGGGCCCTGATTGCTGCTGCTGCAGTTGGTGAGCGTGGAGCTTTTTTTTTTTTTAAAGTGCCGGGACACTGGGGCTGGGTGGGGGGTTGGGGTCCTGCTCACTGCCAACACTGCTGCCGCTGCCTGTTCGATTCAGAGGAGATTCGGCGGCCGAATCTCTGAATCCAAATTGGCTGAATCAAATAGGTACAGTGATTTGAATCACTGAATCA